AGGTAACGAGGTGGGCGTGGCACACATCGGGAGCGGACGGAGCGGGGCATGACACAATGGCATAAAAGTATTTACTTAATACCAAGCTGACATGATAAAATTGTGTGTTTTTTTTTCTATTATTATTATTACAATATTACTTATTACTTTTATTTCTAAGTTTGAGGGCATATTGTATTGTTGCCAGTTTGAAAATAAGCTATAGAGAAAGCTTTCTAAAAGTTTTTACAAGTTTCTAAAAGTGTTTACAATGGCGTGGTCTGCCATCTCACTTACAAGCATATTTTATGGCTTCTCAGATTGCACTTTAACCCTAAAGTAAAAAAAGCTAAATAAAGTTAAAACTTGTTTTGAACCATTTTTGTCATCTGTAGTTTGATTTTGAGTAGGGGAGGGATTTTATTTTTAGGCCATATCGCCCAGCTCTACACAGTACCATCAAATGTTTTATACCTGACTTAAAAAGTTACGAAACTTATAAATTAATGAATTATTGCAGACAGGCATCACTGCAATTTATGAAAAAAAGGTCAAGCAAAAAATGTTAAATCTGTATGAAGAGATTTAGAGTCCCACACAGATATCCCACCTCTCACAGAAGTCGCGGAAGTCTCTCGCAAATTAACAGTTGCTCCCTGGTGCAAATAATATACAAATCCCGAGAATTTTGGCGAGTAAGTGAGAGAGAGACAAAGAGGTGGGATGTCTACATTGTTGAGGGATAAGCACCACCACCACACACCATTTTTTTTTTTAAGCTACCTACTTTTCACAAACATCAACATGGTCTTGTATTTCTGACAGGCTATACTTCTCGTTGCAGTACAAGCATTCTGTCAGTGGTCCAGAGGATATAGGCTGGTCACTCTCAAGAGTCTGAATCATTGTAAGAACATAAAAAGTCACATTAGCAGATATATAGTAGGGTTAGCTTATACAAAGAAATAATAATTTAGGAATATTCTAAATCACTTTATTTAAAACTAGTGTATCACTTAGTTTTAGTGGTTTAAACTGTCTCAATAACCACAGTATTATTACTAACCAGAGATTTTAACCTTTTCCTACCTGCCTGCAGATCTATATCTTTCTGGAGTGGCCGGATATATATGAGAGCCTGCCCAACCATGACAGACTCACTTAAGAGGTACTCAGGGGAATACCTATCATCTGGACAGGGTATTGTCTCTAATTTTTTGGAACGTGTTGATCCTCTGGATCGCAACAGCTGGAAACCGCCACAGTTTTTCAACATAGGGAAATGCTGAGAGAGATGGTCTGAAAACTCCTGAGGAGTGCAGTATTTGTCTAAAACAAAGAAAAAATAAAAATACAAGTTAATTTCAGGTGGATAATGCATTAATGTAAGCATGATTTAAGCAAACCCTTAGAAAGAGAAAAAAATTTACTAACTATTACCGGGAATGGTGATCCTCTTCTCTCTTATTCCTGCCCTCTCTAATTTGTTTTTCACTGATGGACTTGGCACCTCACATTCCTTTCTCTTGGACAGGCAAAAAAAACGATGGGTGTAGGAAACACTTTTAGATTTCTTTGCTGAAGGTCCAGCGGTGCTGGGACGTCTCGGCACACGGCCCCGTGGATTTGAATATGGTGCAAACCATCTTAAAACCTCTGCTGCAAGAAAATGATTATAGATTATGAACACTATATAGTTTGTATTTTAATAAATTTAATTACACAGTCAGTGTCAGGCCTGCCAACTGTATGGTGAACTCTGACCTGTGAATTTGTATCTCGTGACCAATATCGATCACAACGCAACCTTTAGCTGAATTAAAAGAATAAGAAAGTTTTTGCAGTAAAGTGAAGCTTTAAATATTTGTACTTTTTGGGTTGATTATTTATTTTTTGTTGTTGTTACGTAAGCTACGCCTGCTCAAAGTGTAGTGTGACCGCGGCTAAAGCCGTCATCCCATTGTTTTGTCAAAAACGAGCATTTCAGACGATGGTCAACGAATGTGATCGTCAGTAACAACCCACCTCCCCAGACCCGAGTGAAAGTTGGCAACCCTAGGCCAAACTGTTGCCTTGGTCTTTATCTGCCAACTTATCCCGTGTCCCACCACTTCGATCCGGAGGCGTCGTGCTCAGACCAGACGATGGGTTTTCTGAAGGGTCAACATTTGCAGTTTGCCACTCCAGTGCTTGGGCAGCTTCTCGGAGAAGCTGTGGAACGGACTTCGCCATGTTCCCTACCGGCAATTATCAAAATACCCACGACAACGTAAAGTAAGCCCCGCCTTGACGCAATGATTGCTGTAGGGTGGGCATGGTCAGCTCGGAATGCAGTGGAGGTGATGGAAAATGTAAATTTAAATACAGAATTTCATTGCCATTTTGAATATTGTACTGCCATTTTGCATATTGCATTGCAAATTGAATTTTGCTACACATATGCTTCCATAATACTTGTTCATTTAAATCTCTAAATTATACAACTGAATTGGCCTTCTCAACATGGTCCCTGTGGTAGTGCGAACTAAACAAGACCTGACAAAACCATCTTGGCCAGGAAACAGCTCTTTGATTCTTCCAAGTTTCCAGAGGTACCATCGAGTAGTCAAACCAAAGCAGCAGGCGCGCCAAGCAACAGCCAATGACATTTCAACATCGTAGAAGACGTAAATTTTTTTTTAATGTGTTTAATAATTAGAGTTGTGATCTAGAGACCTGCGTGGGACGAATTTTTCAGTCCCGCTCCTGCCCACTTCCGCAAGATTCTGTCCCGCTCCCGCAAAAAAATATTATTTTCTCCGCCCACAGTATTCAAGTTTTGTCCCGCTCCCGCCCGCAAAATCCCGCAGGTAAACATATACTGTAAGTAGTTTTATTTTTACTACTTCTTCCCGCTACTCTGTTATTTGTTTTAGGCAAGGTTTTACTGATCGAACGAGCCGCTCCCAGAATCCGCCCCACCAGGCTGCTCACTCTGCGATGAACTTCCAGGTGATCCCTCTCTGTGAGAAGAACTCCAACAACTACGGGTCTTTAATAGTCTTCCAAAGCCCCTTCAAGTCTTGGTCTGCTCTCTTAAACGTTCTAGCATTGTCAGAATAGATGACCAGGCATAATCCTCTCCTGGCAATGAATCTCTTCAATGCTAACAGAAATACCTCTGTTGTCTGATCTGAGACCAACCCTAAATGGACTGCTCTGGTTACAGCACAGGTAAACAGGGCAATGTATGATCTTTTTACAGAACCATCTGCCTTCACATAAAGTGGGCCAGCAAAATCCATGCCTGTGACCTCGAACAGTGGTGATTCATATATTCTGTCCTTAGGCAATGGTGCAGTGGGTTGTCGTCCAGCTTTCACCTTGAATCTCTTACACACTATGCATCTGGCCACAATGCTCTTTACCAGCTGCCTAGCACGGATGATCCAGTATCTCTCTCTCACTTGTACGAGAGTGTCTCTCACTACTGAATGCATCACCCTTTCGTGACAATCCTGTATCAACAGTTCTGAAAATCTGTGTTTGTTGGGCAGAATCCAAGGATGTTGCTCTGAATGTAAAGTTGGACTGCTGTAGCCTTCCTCCAACACTTAGCAGCTCATGTTCATCAAGGAATGGTTTGAGCTCTCGGATCTTACTGTCATGCCTTGCAGTTTTCCCTGCCTTCAGTAGCTGGACCTCCTGATTGAAACTCTGATGTTGCGTGATTTTAATCCAGTACTTCTCAGCTTCAAGAAGCTCATCTGCAGTCAGTTCGCCGTGTAATTTTGATGTTCTTGTTTTAGCATTGTTTATGAATTTTCTAATCCATGCTGTCACTTTGAGAACCCTTTTCAGTTTGCTATAATTTTCAAGCTCCAGTACTGGTTCATAGACACTGGTATCATTGGCAGCATGCTGTATGGTGACTTGGTAACTGGATTTAAGTTCTGCATTCACCCCATCTGAAATGTTTCCATCCTCAGCCTGTTGTGCCTGATCGGCTGATGGAGCAGCACTGGGACCATTCCACCATAGCTGGTTCTGTAATGCCTCAGCTGCTTGTCCCCTTGTGGGAAGGTCAGCTGGATTAATCTTTCCTGAGATGTGTGAACATGAAGCTGGATAGTTAAGCGTCTGGATCTCAGTCATTCTGTTAGCAACAAATGGTTTCCACCTTTGTGCAGAGCTGCAAATCCAGTGCAGTACAATCTGGAGTCAGTCCACATTTTTGAGTCTGTTCCATCTTCAAGGAGATGCTCAAGTTGTTTGCCAGTCTTGTTCCAATCACAGC